ACAAACTAAAAAATATATATGGGTTACGTTATGTCGATAATTTTATTAACAAAGTCAATAATTACAGTCGTTTCTAACAGAAGCGACGGACGAGAATGGCACCCAAAGAGCGAGACTAATTACGAGGCGGAAGACTGTTTCCCGGAGCCATGCTCATTTCTCCTCCGCTCTGGGATCCGTCTCTTGGTGGACTCTGCTTAATAAAGGAAAATTTCATAAGGAATAAATTAATTTTTATTCTGATGATTTTTCACTGTTGTAATTGATATTTAATTTATCTTAATGTAAATGCAACATTTTAAGAAAAAAAAAAAAAACAGAAAAAAAGCAGTTTAAGAATTTTTAATATTTTGTAATAATTCAAATAATTACTCTCATTAGCAATTTCAAATTACTTCTGAATAGTTCCATTTTCAATTCTAACAAACCTGTTAACAGTCATATTTAGCCTTTTGAACTCAATGCTGACATTTATTTATTAATCTTTTTATTGTCTCAATCTTGCAGGCATAAAAAAAGTGCCTTTGAACAAGCCCATTGCAATAGAAATCTGTCACACTCTTTCATTCATTATACAGTCATATTACAACAAAAGAATCTTAGTAGGGAAGGGTGGGACATAACATATCATGGCCAGATCACTCATGAAAAATTTCTGACATGCTAACTGAACATGAACTCAGAACCTTCCGAGAAAGGGACATGTACTTTACCACTGCTGTCACTTAACATTTACTAGTTGATAATTACATTTGGAATTTTGATTGAAGTTGGATATATGCCATTTGATACTGTCAAAACTATATATAAAGTCATTACATTCAATCAAGAGTGTAATTTAACTGAAAAATATTCATACAGGACAGTATGTCTTTTTTATTTTTTGTGGACATAATATATGGTTAAATGCCACTTACAACCAGCATTTACTTTGATCCAATAAAAAATCAGTCGAAGCTGTAAAGCTATTGACCTGCCACTCTGGGAATCCCAGATTTGAGTCTGGGTCAAGGACATTGGGAATTTTTCTTGGTTAGTCAGTTCTAGATATGATTGATACCATTCCTCATCATTATTCAGTTGCTTCCATTACAGACATGATTAAAAAGATCCTTTTAGAGTCCACATAGTGTAAGGAGTTTAAGTAAGCTTACTTATCAAAATAAATAAATATTAAAATTTAAATTTTGAAAATTACTTTGTATTCTTAGGAAAATTATCATGAACACAAAATTAACTAAGTTAGTTGATGGACATTGTCATATTCTTTCATTTTAATATTGTGCTTAGAGGAAAAAATAATAATTATAATTACATCTGATTTACCATATACACAATATCTTTTTGGAATGATTCAGAAAATTAAATGACGATTTGGCATACAGAGAAATTGAGATTGGTCATGTTGTGAAAATATGTTGAATAATTTTGCCATTAATAAAAAACATGAAAGAAATATATTTCAAAACAGATGATTATTTTGAAGGCAACAATTTAATAATTTTCATAAACTAATGAAAAACTATATTGTATCAGAGTCACTATTTTTGGGATATGTGTTGAATTAGCAAATAATTAAAATAATTGTCAAATCATTGTGTCAATATATTGTGGAATAAAACATACTCTATGTTTTGTCCAACAATATATGCTGATGGAGTAATCAGAAAAAATCCAAATAATATACAAGTATCTATATTATTTTGAATTGTTCATGCTCATTATTGATCATTGTTTATGCTAATTTTCTCAAATAAAAAAACAAAAGAAAAAATATTTTTATTTAATAAAAAACTATTTACCTTTACATGAATTTGATTTTTTAACATTGCAGATCGTAAAATTAATGCCTAAAGAAAGAGAAAAAAATTCAATGAAGTTTTGATACATTTAAAGCAATGGCATTATTTTAGGTTTAAATAAAAGTTACTCACTGTTGTCCTTCTCTGATACTCTTTTCCCATAGCAAGAGAACGCTCAAAAGTTGTACTTCTTTGGTCTATATCTTTGGCATAGAGTATCTGGTAATAATTATATTATAATGTTACTATAACACAATTTAGAGTTTTAAAACTTGATATATAAATATATTATTCTAAAATAAAAGTATTCTTCATTCTCCATTCAAAATATTAACACACAGGCTCTGTGTACCCAACTTTATGATGCATTCTCAAATCTAACATTTACATAAAATAAGAATTAGATTATAAATAATTAAGTATATGCTTAATTTTTTAAAAAGTTTGAAATTACAGCTATAATAACAATGTTTCTCATTTAATTTATAACAACTAAAGTAATAAACTTCAAAACTTGATAAATTCACTACATTAAACTGCTCATAAAAAAATGAACTGGAAAATAGTCACATTAAATAAATTCAACTTCTGACAAATTAATTATAATTAATTTTGTTTATTTACTAATTATAGATAACAATATAATAATAAATTTTAAATACTTTATGTAATAGAGGACATTAGTAAATGTTAACATGCATACTTATAGCTAGGAATGGAACTCAGCATTTTCATACATAAAAATACTGGGAGTTTCATCTTTCTCCCTTTGATTGCCTTCAATAGATCAATTCTGGTGACCCAATCCTAGCAGACAGCCAGCCAGTTGGCTGAGGTAATTAATGCATCAACAAACAACTCTGGAAACCAGGAATTTTTCAAGGGAGTAATCCCATCCTAGATATGTCAAGGACTTGTCCCTCACCAAATGGCTGCCCATTGTGGGCCTGGCCTCACCCGCAATGAACTTTTTTCAGACCCATCATTGGTAAAGTCTGAAAAATTTTTGGCCCAATGTTTGTGTGTATATTGATTCATATTTAGTTAATAAATAAATAAAATGAACAGTTAAGTCAAAGTTTTAATAATTATAATAAACAAAGATATCACATACCTACTAGAAATAATATTTTTTAATAATTCTTGTCTATCAAAAGATGCTAGGGCACAAAGACCACCATACATGGCAACATTATTTGAAGACAATAGCTAGAAGGATAAACATATTTGTTCTTAACTATATTGATTATTTAATCATTATAAAACAATTTTTACAGTTGAGCCTTGATATAACAAACTAATATGAGAAAAAGTGCTGAGCATGTATTTTATAAAGATAATGCTGAGCATGTATTTAAAAAGATATTGTGGACAACTATACAAATAGACTTTATACAAGACCATGATAAAAGGTCCCAAACAACCTACAAGGGTCATCCCAGAAGTACCCGACCTAACATATAGATGATGGTAATTGTTTGAAAAAATTACTGTGTTTGAAAGTACCAACCTTGTAAAGCTTTGGTTGACCAAATGAGATGACCATGCAAGAAATGGTGAAAAAAATTCACAAAATGGTATTGGATGACCGTTGACTCAAAGTGCGAGAGCTAGCAGACACAGTAGGCATTTCAAAAAGTGCTGTACATTGCATTTTGACTGAAAATTTGGACATGAGAAAGCTGTGCGCAAGATGGGTGCCGCATTTGCTCACAATGGAACAAAAACAGCATTGTGAGGATGTTTCAATTGAGTGTTTGGCAATGTTCCATAGCAATAAAACAGAGTTTTTGTGTTGATTCATAATCATGGATGAAACATGGGTCCACCACTTCATGCCTGAGATGAAAGAACAGTCGAAACAATGAACTGAAAGAGGAGAATCGGCTCTAAAGAAGGCGAAGACAGTTCCATCTGCTGGCAAGGTCATGGCATCAGTTTTTTGGGATGTGCATGGGATAATTTTCATTGATTATATTCAAAAAGGAAAAACAATCAACAGCAAGTATTATGCGAACTTATTGCAGTGCTTGAGTGATGAAATCAAGAAAAAATGGCTGCATTTGGCAGGAAAAAAAGGGTGTTGTTTCATCAAGACAACGCACTAGTTCACACATCTATTATTGCGGTGGCCAAAATCAATGAGTTAGGGTGCGACTATGCAGACGCAAATTTAGAACGAGCGAGAGGTTGCGAGCAATTTAGTTTTCGCAAAGGAAAACCATGTACAAACGAGAAGTGAGAAATAACGCTGATGAGAGCGAATTTCTGATTCTCGCACATATCTGACAGGTTTTGATATTTATTGCGTCTCACCTCTTCTCGCCACATATTCTTGCTTGCTCGGAAAATTCGCTCGCTCGCTCGCGTCTGCATAGTCGCACCCTTAAGGTTTGATTTGCTTCCTTGCATACCCTATTTGCCAGATTTAGCCTCCTTGGATTATTTTCTCTTTCCAAACTTGAAAAGATGGCTTGGTGGTAAAAGATTCGCCAACAATGTGGAGTCTGCAGTTGATGGCTATTTTGAGAAGCTCAATGGTTCTCACTATAAACATGGTAACGAAGCTATTGAACATTGCTGGGAAAAGTGTATCAAGCTAAAAGGAGACTATGTTGAGAAATAAAGATACGTTTTTTCCAAAATTTTTTGTGTCTTCTTTGTTAGGTGGGTACTTATGGAACTACCCTCGTAAATATTGATAAATACAAAGAGGGATGTAAATAATATATTACCTAGTGGACATTCCATGCATTAACAATCATAAATATATTTACATTCTAACAAATGTTTTGAAATGTGCTCATCAGTAACCAAGTGGATAAAACCACTGAAGACTTGTAGTTAGTTATGGACTTGAACCTCACCAAATAGACTAGTTACATGAATTTTTTCTACATATGTCTAAAACCTAGAGACCAGTTTCCCACATAACTCCTCCCAGGGGCACTCATCAATGTAACCCATAATCACATTGCCTTATACTATCAATCTAATCCAAATGTTTTGCAACAACTGAATTTAGTTCATTGTTTGCAAAATCTATTATATCAAGATTCATAAAAGGTCAATGATATTTGGAATTTTAAAATTATAATTTAAAAACAGAATTATTGATAAAATCTATATATTTGTAAAAAAATTAATTTCTGAACTTTAAATGCAGTATATTAACTTACATCTGGGAAATCACAATGATCAAAACTAGCCTGAAGGAAATTTTTTGCTGCTGACTTATATTTTTTTGTTGCAAGTTCTGCTAGTCCAGCTGCACATCTTAATTTTGTAAGAATTTGCTGATTGGTATCTTTACCATGACCCTTAAATGGAGTATGTAATAATCAGTTAAATATTGACTTGAAATAAAACAAAATAAAACTTTACAGAAAAAAATGTTTATCTAAATTAAAATTAAGATCATCATTAAAAAATATTTAGAATTTAATTAAGAATAAATAACTTACTTCTGCAACTTCTGGAGTGGCTTCGGCTTTATTAACATAAGTTAGAACGTGGGACCAGTTTTGTAAGTACACACTCACCTGAAATTCATTTCAAATATGATTATATACTATTTGTTATAGTAACCATCAAAGTATAATTATAAATATTTTTTCTTTTCTAAAGATTTTTTATTTATAGAAATGAAGATATAGTCAGAAAGTAATGCAAAAATAAATTTGCATTACTGCCAAATTTTGACTTAAAATAATTTTATTACTGTAAAACAGAACTTCAATTCACAAAAATATTGTTATTTAAACTTTTATTTTAGTTAAAATATAACTTTTTATTTAGGGATTAATAAATTTTCAAACATTGACAACCAGATGGCTGAGGTGGTCAAGAGGATAAGGCCCATCACTCTGGAGAACCTAGAACTGAATTTAGATGATTGAAAAATCCCAGATTTTTTCATGTGCAGTCTGTCCTGGTTATATCAGGACCTCAACACCTGGTCACCTCCATTATGGGCCTGACTGAACCCACAAGGGTTAGAAAAAAAACTCTTATTTCCCACAGGGCAGAGTTAAAAAGAATCCTCCAATGTTTTTAGAATACAATTGTTTTATGATTCTTCTAGTATTGTAATATCTTATTGTATTTTTCAGAATGCAATTTTAAAATCATTAAGGGATAATCCACTAAAAATGGAAAAAATTACAATAAAAAAACATAAGAATGCATTTAGAAAATTAACATCTTATAAAAAATTGAATTGAAATAATTAAAAAAAAATTATTTCAATAACTTTTATCTACTCATCTTATTTCTGTACAAATCTTTCATTTCTAAATTTTTATATCAACAAATTGTTAAAAGCATACTGTATATGTCTGCCCAGAATCAAAGTGCATCTGACTTAAGTATCATTTGCTTATGAAGTACATTTATGAAATATTTTAATTAAAATAAATGATTATCATCAATATATCAATTTCTGATAGTTTGTAAATATTTATAGTTGTTTCAAAAAAGCAATATTATCCGTATCTGCAGTATATATTACTTCACCTCGGTATTTTTTAAGATTGTTTTTGAGTTTCATTATATAGATTAGATTTCTATATATTTTGTTTTTTCAGCTTATTATGTTGGCTTCTGAAATATACAAACTAGTCTAGAATTATGACAGTGTATAGCTAATTCCTTAATAGAAAACTTAAGATGGAGGTGACTTACCAATAAATTGTGATAATCTTAATTAATTAATAATCTCAATTAATGTGATCATTATAACTGAAATTAGATGTTATGACAACCATAGAGCAATCGAAAATATAACAAACAGCAATAAGTAACTTTTTCTAGCTGTGTTAATTCTATAAAATTTCAAACATTTTAATTCATAGCCACATTCCATAAATATTTCTTAGATACATTGTAGACTGTAGAAGTGGGGTACAAACCAAAAGCACTAACCTAGACAATCCAATGTGACAATTAGAATCAAATAGACAATTAAAACTATTGTTTACATCTTAAAGATTTTAGTGTGTTATTCATTTAACCAGTTAAAAGTCTATGCTGCACCTAAGATTGTTAAGTCAAGATATTTTAGGCTCTTGTCTTCTGCTTGTAAAATGAAAATCAAAACAAATCAGTAGAAATTCACTTAAATAGTTAATATGTGCTTCTTGTCCTTAATTAGTTCTTAGTATAGTCCTTGTTCTTGTCAACTAGGACTTCTTATACTGATAGAAGAGAAAAACACCATTTCCAATTAAGATATATTTATTGTAACATAATCTTGTATGCCACTATAATCCAGCATTTTGGGCCAATGCCCCTCCTCAGCAGATGTTACCATTTTCTTTATATTTACAAGTTCATATTTTAATACATCCATATATTTCAACATTTTCAGAACAGCTGTAACTCCTCTTCTATTGAGTGAGGTGGTGTGAGCAGGATAATTACCCCTTGGATTGGTGCATTAGTAACATTTCAAGAATAAGTGATGTTTAAGTGAATAGATACATTTTCAAGAAAATATTACTGGAAGAATTTAATAAATTGAGGTTTAAAAGTCTATTCCAAAAATGTTGAAAGAAATACAGTAAAACCTGTCTATGGCGACCACCCACGGTTCCTTCAAAAAGTGGTCTTTTAGACAGGTGGTCGTCCAATACAGGTGGTGCTGTAATACCGTATTTCCGTATTTATTTTGCGCACTTTTTAGCCATTTCTACTAAGCAAAACTCGAGGTGAGTAAAAATAAGCGAATTTTTTCAATGATAGGGCTATATTGGTATTGTATTTTATTCTTATCGGATAACTCGATTTANTTTACACGTATAGTTGTGTAGAAGATCGATTGTACACTAAACACCCATGCCCGAAATTATTCGAAATCGGTAATGAAGTGCAAAATGATATGTGTGATAATATAAAAATTAATGATTATATATAAAAATTAATGATTATATTACATGAGATTTTGAAATGAATTTAAGACAAACACTTTTTTATACTTGTTTAATTATTGACCATTAGACAATCAAAAATTATATCTAGAGTTTATGTTATATATTCTGGTGTATAATTGTTTTACGAATCAAATGACATAAAAATTTTGTCTGTGACTCTAAGTTTTAAAAAATATATAGGTTCGAATAATATAAATTCGATATTCCGCGATTTTCGTTTATACCCATTTTATCTGTGTTATTTCGCATCTAAAATACACACATATATGTATATATTTTTAATTAATATTATATATTATAGTGGAGAATTGTCTAAAAAATTTAATGACATATAAAACTTTTGTGTTTGACTTTAAGTTTAAAAAATATTTAAGTGCGAATGGCAAAAATTCGATATTTTGTTATTTTCGTTAACACCCATATCATCTGTATTATTTAGCATTTAAAATACATACATATATATATAGGGGAAATTGGGGCAAGATCGGCATGTTAAGCTTTACTTAAATTTTGTGTAATAAATACTGCTGTAAACTGAAAAAAAAGCTTTGCATATTGTCTATTGGAATGTTACCTTACTATAGAACTGGTTAAAATCAGTTTGGAAATAAAAATAATTAAAATAATTTCAACTTTACAAAAAGAGAGAAGTTGCCGATCTTGCACCTATACCGAGACAAGATCGGCAACTTTTCTCTTTTTGTAAAGTTGTAATTATTTTAATTATTTTTATTAAAGTTGCCCCTGATATAGGGGCAACAGTAATGGGGCAAGATAGGCACGTATATAAAATTATGTTATTAACAATGTATAAGTTGGAATTCACTATTAAAACAAAGAAATACAAATCCAACACCCATTTAATATTATTACAACGAAATGCAAGTTCAAAGACATATATACATGAATAACAAATGCAGACATGTTTTCATTTATCATCTGTTTGATTTTTATCCTTTGCTNCAATTTTAATATGTATTTCTTTGCTAATATTAAATGTAAGTTGTTATTTTTCTATTTTGTGTCTATATTATGAATCCTTATTGCAGTGTGGTGAAGCCTGTGAACTCCTCGGAATAAAATGTTTTTAATACAGTTAATCTATATATATATATAAATGGACATGTATGTCCCTATATCTCACTTTTTCGCCAAAACTACACATTGCACGTGAATGGTGTTTGTATGTGGTGGTAGCCCCAAGTCTCCATTCGTGCATAGGGGTGGTTGCGTCTCGATAGCTATAAGGGTGCAAGAGATATGAGGCTGAAAGTGGTTGAAAGTGGCTTTCTATTTCGAATGTTTTGTTCGATTTTTTCGAAATTTTTCGAATTAAATTCGAACATAAAATTCGAATTGGTTCGATTATAGAACGATTGAAAACGTTCCAGAAACGTTCAAATTTGTTCGTTTGACTAAACGTAAAAAATTTCTAATTAGTCTGGAAACGGGAGACCTAATTCTTGCATTTTGTGAAAACGGGTAAGATTAGCTATGATGTAATTATCTTAATTGTCACTATCGTTACTTTTTGCCCAGCGAAGCGGGTCTTGCAGCTAGATTCTAGATTACTTAGAAAAACAGTCTTTTATATATATATATATAAAACTATACTATTACATACAAATAAAAACCCAGCGGAGCGAGATCTTGCAGCTAGTATATTTAACATCAATTTGACAATTATTAATACTACAATGCAAAAACACCTGGGAAGTATTGACCCTTATTAATTTCACATTGGATAAAATTTATTATAAAGCTAATGAAAAATATTATCGTCAAAGTGTTGGTATTCAATGGAATTTGTTGTTAGCTTGAAACTGGTGGAAATATTTATGATAGATACGGACAAAACGCTATCATGTCTGAGAGGAATAAATTTTTTGCTAGATATGTGGTCGATATAATGATCATATATAATAGTAAGTTAATATCACCAGATCAAATACTTGGATTAGCAAATAAGATAAATTCATATATTAAATTTAATAATGAAATTGAAAAATATAATAAATTAATCATATACATATTACAATTTAACGTTTGATAAGCATCTTGACTATATAGTAAGTACGAAAAGCCGTGTAATGCTAAAAAAAAGTTATAAAGTTTTAATCGTATTAAACCAGAAATTGTTAAAATTCAAGTACAGTAATTATGGTAAGTATTATTGTTAAAATGCTTCTATTTTGAAAGACGTTTTGTATTTTTAAATGCTATACTTTCAATGGTGGGAAACAGAAAATCTAGAGAAAATTATTACACATTACAAATTCTAGCGATTTTTTTTTCTAAAATGAGCAATATATATAATTATATTGATGTATTTATTTACAAGGAATTCTGTTTAAGTTATAAAAACTCGAGCATCGAATGGAAAATTTGCAAAAATCAATTTGTAAACGAAGAGCAATTTGATGAACATTTAAAAAAAAATCTTAATTGAAAATATTAACTTGTGAAGTGTGTCGAAAACAGTTTAGTTCGGTTTACAATTTGAAATCTCACATGCGAATACATTCAAATGAAAAGAAATTTAAATGCGACAAATGTGACTATTTAACCGTAGATGGATCAAATTTAATGTTTGAAGACGTCCACCTGTTTCCTGGACTGAAAACGTGGCTAGCTTGGCAGAGGTTTGAGACTAATGAACTAATGACGATCTTCAAAACAACGTTGTTAACGCCATCTCAATTCACTGGTGGCAACATTCTATGACAAGGAGATGGAAGAGCTCGTCCCCAGTTATGACAAATTCCTCAATTTTCAGGGTGATTATTTCGAAAAGTAACCATGTTTCTACCTAACTTTTGGTAATAAATTCATTTTGTTATTTACTCTATGTCTTTTTTTTATGGATTAGTGGAGCTTGGAAAAAACCGCCCTCGTAAATTAAATTTAAAATATCGGAGTCGACGCATTTTTCCCGACTCCTACTCTGACTCTTCAGGCCAGAAATTCCTTCCGACTCCGACTCCACAGCCCTGGTATAAACCGAAAAAATATATATACAAAAAACCCCAAAACACAATAAATATAATTAACAATATAAATTTGAAAAGCAATTAGATGGACTCATTTATTTTTAAAATAAAAACAATATTATATGCAGCTCTGTACTTCATCTAAATATATAAAATTGATAACATTTTAGACATTGTTATAAATATTTTTATATATTTCGATTTTTTAACCAAATGTTCGAACCGTTTTAAATTCGAATTTGTTATTGCATATTGGTTCGATTATATAACGATTGTAAACGTTCCAGAAAATTGATCAAATTGAAAATAGTTTGTTTGATTCTCAGCAATTCTCGTCATTCTCGGCGGTAGGTGTTATATAACAATTACTATGGTTCTTGAAATACTAAATATAAATAATGTTTGCTTGCAAAATCCGCACGGGCGAAATCGCGTGTAACAGCTAGTTGTTCATAACGTAAATTATATGAATCCAATTCCTTTACGCAAATACAATATTCGGAATAATCCAGTGTGCAAGAAGTACCGTTCATAAATATAATGAAGCACACTCTTGTTACTTCATAGAATACTAATATAATTTCGATTTTTCAACTTTGATTTAGTAAATGTAAGCTGGAAAAATATTTATAAAATGTGTTGTGACAACTTAACTTTTATTTCTTTCCTCCATGGTCATTTTTATTCCAAATATTGGGCGAAGCACAATGCCTGCGGACACGAGAATTTTATCTCGAGGATCCAAAAAATGAACTTTGAACTAACGAAGTACGTTTTCTACGATTGTTTTCATCTCAATCATTGCATATTTTTGTGTAGTGGTAAAAACAATTACATCGTAAACTGTTGTATAAAAATTACAGTAAATACATCGATTACTTACCAATACAATTTCGTTGTCCTGCACAGAAAGGCAAGAAGGCGAACGGATTACGCTTCTCACAGTTTTCTGGTAAAAATCTGTCTGGGTCAAACACTTCGGGATTTTGGAAAACAGCAGGATTGTGATGAATGGTGTGAATGCAGATAATGTAAGATGAATTCGGTGGCAAATTATATCTGTCTATAAATTATAATTTAATCTTAAATAAATTATGCAAAATTTTAACGATAAAATCAATATAAGTAATAAATACAATGATATTTATAAATTCTTACATCGAGTTTAATTACAAAAGTATTATTGAGATTATCTTGTTGCATTTTGTACCTGACATAGAATTTCATTATTACTTAACATTATCGGAATGAATCGCAGATTTTTTGAAAATCGTTTCCAGCTTGAGGACATTAATAGGACCTTTTGAATCATACTCATCATTCGAACAATTCACAATTAAAACGGACGTTATCGTGGATTTCTGGTAGGGTATGGATCCGAATATATCCGGCCAGATCGTTCATGAAAAATTTCTGACCGTTCCCACACGAACTCGAACGTGTTTTCTCAAGAGACTAAAGTTTTACTGCTTCGGACATTCGGCCCATTCGAACAATTTAAAAATGCTATCTTCTAATCACTTTAATCCTATTATTAGGTTGATTTTTCTCATAGCAAACTTACTTTACAGGTGATTATGATGAAATTTGTAATAAATTTCGACAATCCAATGACCTCTGCTGATCAAATTACATAATAGCTTGTAATTTCCTTCTCTTTTACTACAAACGCAACAATTCACTGTATATACATCGTAATAACCCCCTTTAGTTCTTTATTTATACAATACTGAAAGGCTCACAATACATTTTTTTCTGTAAATAATTCCAGATTTCTAAACCTTACAATATGATGTAAAATTGTAAGAGTAAGGTAATCGTTTGAGTGCTTCAACTCTACTGTTTGATATATTCTAATTGTAAACTTTTAATTACCTATAAGATATTACTTTATGGCGGAAAGTTCGACGCGGTTAACCGAGATAACTAACATCAGAATAAAAAGGAAAGGATAATAAATTTAACACAAATAATCATATATAATTTAATTCAAAGAACAAAACAATCGAATCTTACTCGAAATAGTATTTTTTATCGAGGAATAAGCGTATTTTGTATACCAGTTCTTTATCGATCCAAGAAAATATCTCTAATGCAAAATCTTCTTTCGAATCTTTTAACTAAATATAGCAAGCCGTACAAAACAAAATTTGTAAACACGTGGTTACCGACAATATCGGTATCATTCGCCATCTTGAATACTGTACGCATGAGCCGAAATGTTATTGGATTGCCTCTTGTGTGGCTGTGCTGCCGCGCGGCAAAGATGCGTTTGTGACACCGCTTTTCCTTGCGGCGCCGCATATGCGCATCCGGCTTAGGCCAGGAACACACATGCGTAAAATTCGGCGTAAAATCTAGCATAAAACAGAAAACGTAAAAATTTTTCTGAAATTTTGACTGAAAAAGAACTGAAAATAGAGTAGAGCATGTCTCTACTTTTTACGCCGAAAAATTTTTACGCCAAAATTCCTCCAATAAAGAGAAGTCTTTCCTGTGACGTCAAAGTAGACACGTGGTTTTTATTCTAACAATAGCGGCAATGAGGATTAACCCTACAATTGTGACGGTCTCGAAAAAACGAAAAATAAATGAAATAGAGGAGTTTATTGAATCCGTTCGACCAAATCAGTGTCATGTATAAAGACACTGTATTTAAACAACGTTTATGGATGGCTATAGGTGCAAAATTTCAAATAACAGGTAGGTCTAGTAGAATCGATATATAGCCCTAGTATTTAGATCACGCGTTCTTTATTTGAATTCGGAATACAAGTCTATTAATTTAAATTTTATATATTATAGCAGAGAAAGCGGAGAAAAAAATGGAAGGTACAAAGGGATAGATAGCCTATATGAGAGGAAAAAATTAATAAAATTAGCACTGTTGATGGCAGTGGTGCCACCAACAGTGCTAATTTTCGACCAGAATTTTTACGTATGTGTGTTCTGGCATAAAAGCGTAAAACAGAAACTAAATTGAAAGCTGATTTCTGATTCAGTTTTCTGTCACACAATTTTACGCATGTGTGTTCCTGGCCTTAACGCGTTACCTGTAGAACGCGTTTTTACTCCAACGCAACGCGATTGGAAAATTGCGAAAATTTTCTTACAACGTGGTTTACGGTATTTAGAAACGAATTATCTTTCACATAACAGAAAAATCGCAACTGATCACGTGATACGAGCCGCAGTTCGGCATACACAGTTAAATGACCTCGAAAACAATTGTGGACGTTGGCGTGTTATTCCCTTGAAAGTTTCAGGGGAAGACCGGTTTATAGACAGATACGCATCATTTACCGTAAACACTCAAATATATCACTAAATTTTCGATCATTTATACTCTTTCAGCAAGTGGAGACCGCAAAAATGGTCCAAAATACAGTGTATAAACTTCTGTTGGGTGTATATTTTTAAGCGATCGGTCGACTGAGCAATCGGAAAAAAAGATTAGGAATTTGGTCGCATCTGGATCATGTATACTTTTGAAAAATGATGTTTGTCCGAGAGCACCTAAAATAGAAATAATGGAACAAGCGCTAATATTATGGGTAGAAGATATGAACAATAAACGGTTGCCTTTAAATAAAACTGCACTTAAACACAAAGCCTTAAAAACATTTAATTATTTAAAACAAATGGGACAGTAGTCAGCTGATGAAACCAGTGTTAAATTCGTGGCTAGCAATGGCTAGATTGAAAATTTCAAAAAACGCCATTCAAACGACAAGTTTTTCTTTTTTTAGAACCGAATCCCAGTTTTTGTATTAAATTGGTATCTCCTATAACGTGATTTTCCACAACGCGGTATTTTCAAGGAACGTATATACCGCATTGTAGGAAGCCTACCTGTATTCTCGCGCTAAAAACTTCCTAATTTCTTCACTTCGAAATAAAAGGAATACTATAGATAAAAGCGTTTAATATTTTTATATAGTAAAACATGTATAATCTTTATAAATGAACAATAAGTATACTTTTATTCCTAGGAAAACAAAGCTAGTAATACTTAAAAAATAATAATATGAAAATTGTAAATATCTCAGATACGTTGCGATGTATAATAGAAATTTGTCAACTGGGCATTGGAAATTATAATTTTGAGCAGAAAAAATTTGCGATTATTTGTTTTCCTCGTTTTAATATTGGTTATTGTTACATAAAAAACCAAGAAACATTTAGTTAATCGAAGACTGTTAAGAAGTCTTTTGTGTTAAATGAACAATATTTTCAAACATTTACTTACCTGCAGAGGCTGACGAAGACAAATGATTTTCCTGTTGTTTTCTTTTGTTTCTCAATTTCTTTCTTAATGAATATAGGGGAGATCGGGGCAACTTCGGCATGCGGGGCAAGTTTGTCAAGCGCTTTTTTTAAAAAACAAATTAAAAAAAACTTTGATTATAGGTTAGGCAGTTGAGTTTTATTGGTGGCTTGTTGACTGTAGTGTTTTTATTGTTCTTCAACAAGCGTAGTTGAATTATCAAGCAAATTTTCATTTTCGTTCAATTCCATATAATATTTTTTTTCCATTTATATTGAATTGGCAGGTTTTGTTATAATTCCATGATAACGAAAGTTACTTTTCCTGTTAGAAGGATGTAACTTCAACTTATTCACGTGGCCAGATCGTGGCTTGGCATTCTGTTCTCAGTGTTGTACTTAATGTTTCGAAATCATGACTAGCGGGGTAAGATCGGCAAAATAAAGCCACATTAGAAGCAAAGGATAAAAATCAAACAGATGATAAATGAAAACATGTTTGCATTTGTTATTCATGTATATATGTCTTTGAACTTGCATTTCGTTGTAATAATATTAAATGGGTGTTGGATTTGTATTTCTTTGTTTTAATAGTGAATTCCAACTTATACATTGTTAATAACATAATTTTATATACGTGCCTATCTTACCCCATTACTGTTGCCCCTATACCAGGGGCAACTTTAATAAAAATAATTAAAATAGTTACAACTTTACAAAAAAAGAGAAGTTGCCGATCTTGCCCCTATACCCGTAGCAACTTCGTCAATTTCTCTCTTCTTGTAAAGTTGTAATTATTTTAATTATTTTTATGTCCAAACTGATTTTAACCAGATGTATAGTAAGGTAACATTTCAATAGACAATATGCAAAAGGTTTTTTCAGTTTTCAGCAGTATTTATTACACAAAATTTAAGTAAAGCTTAACATGCCGATCTTGCCCCGATCTCCCCTATCACCAGAAGAACAAATAATAACAACACTTAAAAGAATTTGTAAAGACGACAGAAACATGATTAATATTTCTCTTGCTCAACAATTTCTACTGTGTACGTAATAATTTTCTACGTATAGGCCTATATATATATTCGTAGAACAATAATCATGGGAAAATGCCAATTTAAATCAAAGTTTCTATGACACGTAATCTACACGCGCCAATCGTTGACGCTTAAACTCGCCACACAGCAAACAGGAAGTACTGCCCTGATATTATTCTCGCTGGTCTATAATTTAACCAAAGATTTGAAGCGCTTACAAAATATTTCGGTTAAAAAGTTATCGTAATCTAAGTATATTTTGATAGGAGTTATATAATTACGATACTGTAAAACCTGTCTATGGCGACCACCCACGGTTCCTTCAAAAAGTGGTCTTTTAGACAGATGGTCGTCCAATACAGGTGGTGCTGTAATACCGTATTTTCGTATTTATTTTGCGCACTTTTTAGCCATTTCTACTAAGCAAACTCGAAGTGAGTAAAAATAAGCGAATTTTTTCAACGATAGAGCTATATTGGTATTGTATTTTATTCTTATCGGATAACTCGATTTACAGGAGTCGTCGTGATTTTATAAGACAGATTTAATACCAATATTTTAAAGATTAATACAGTATTCACATTTTCTCAATTATAATGCACACTTTCTTTTTTCCAACTAGTATTGACTAGTTGGAAAAAAAGAAAAGAATCAAGTTAATTCAAACAAAGAGAATCAAGTTAATTCAACTTGATTCTCTTCGTTCGCTCCTCATTTATGTGTATTACGTCATCGATATACAAGCGCGTCCTATCTCTCCATCACTTTGGTTTTGCTTTTCATTAGTTTAATCTTATTTTAACTTTAAAAATACTGTATTTTTAAAGTTATTTAATATTTTCTTAAGTACAATAAGAAAAATTATTAATTAATAATAAAACGATTTTTTTATTTTTTCTCATAATACGATTTCATTACATTCGCGATTGTCATTGCGGAATGGAAAAAGGAAGGTTGCCTGTAAAACTGATTTTTGCATTAATGCGTTTATTGTTTTTTGAATATTTTGCCTGCGAAAATTACTTGGATATTATTTTTCTAAAAATATCGTGGAAATAAGGTAGGTTGATACAGAAACTATTTATCGCACGTGTACTGTATATGAGCTTCAAAATAAATAAATAAAAATAGATTTTATCAAACGATGAGATCAGCCGATTAATTGTATCGTGTACAATATTTTACACCCCCAAGGAAAATACTGTAGGTCTAGGGTAAAATAAATTTTGTTTTTCCACAGTTAAACTTCGCCGCTAATTGCTGTTTTGATAACTTTAACATGATCTTCTAACGACAGCACTTTGCATTTCGGACATTTTCTAACAAACTGAAATGAAATTTCCTTTGTTGCTAGACTAATTTATTAACACCTGCACCTAATTTCGAGAGTGAGAGAAGTGCCCGGGATGGGTTCGAACGAGAGTTTAGACTAATTATATTAGGAGGCGGAAACGTTGTTGAGATGGGTTCTTACAATAGTTTAGACCAGATACATTCGCAAAAGTGGTCGCTTATTACAGGTGTTGTATGTTGTTTCGGAACAAAAATCGATGCCCGCGGTCGCGTTACACAGGTGGTCGTTTAATACAGGTAACTTATACGAAGACTCTATGGATAAACTATTCCGTGCCAGAAATTTTTGCCGGTTTTGACAGGTGCCCGTCGAATGCAGGTGGTCGCCTAAGCAGTTTTCACTGTATATTAATTTAATTACTGTTAAGTTTATTGTTATTTTAGATGGAAACGATACTTACTACAAACCGCGACACTCCGGGAATAGCGATTTGAAGAGCATCCTGTTCGATCAACAGTTAGACCCGATACACATTTACAGTACTCTGACCGAGGACCAGCACATCACACGAATTGTGGAATCAATGGCTCATTTCGCATTTGATACGTTGTTCCGGCAAGACAATGCCAGACCGCACGTGGCACTACAAATTCTTACTAGCGGGAATTGATGATAATCTTAGTTGAAACAGTGAGACGAATAATGGGCTAAATTTGGACTATACGGAGGATGTTGCAAGACCAACCAATTCTGCTGAGCTAACCATAGTTTGGTTTGATTTGACATGTGGAGTATAGTCCAGATTTAACCCCCTTAGATTTGCATTTATTCGGATCTCTAAAGAAATTTTTAGAGGGGAAATATTTGCGGATTAAGAGGAGTTGGAGGACACTATTCTGCAAGTAACTTGACAAGCAACAGTACCATGAAGGGATGTACAAACTAGCGTCATGCTGGGATAAATGTCTCAACGTTTACGGCGATTATGTCGAAAAATAAACAAAAGTATGTAGTTTTTTGCGGAATGTATTAAATATTTTCTTTAATTATAAATATTAGTGTAATTTCGGCCTGAACTTTCAATATCGGACTCCCCTCGTACGTTTTCTGTACAACTCAGTTGTAAAATCATAATATTGTCTAGGTCGCCTAGTGTATTGTATTCAGATATTAAAAAATACACCCAAGCACATGATAATTGCGGTAACGAATTGTTATTCCGCATATGATTTCTTTAAAAAAAGAAAATAATAAGTAACTTCATGCTCCAAACACACGCACAGTTTCACAAATATTTTATGTCGAATTTTCATTTAAAAAAGTTATCTTGGCTTCGAAGACCACTTTTATTTAAAATTGATGATATTAAACATTTGTCATATAATCTCCAAGATAAATTTGATCAGCTATCAAGTGACTCTAACTTAAAACTCCAATTTCAACAAAAATCCTTAACTCAACTCTGCATCGGTGGTAGAATTCATTTTCTTACAATTTCCTAAATGGCGTTAAATATTTTTGTCATTTAGTACCAAATATTTATGTCATAGGACATTTTCACTTTTAACTTAGGGGAGACCGGGGCAACTTCGGCATGCGAGGCAAGTTTGTCAAGCGCTTTTTTTCAAAAACAAATTAAAAAGAGACTTTGGTTATAGGTTAGGCAGTTGAGTTTTATTGGTGGCTTGTTGAGTGTAGTGTATTTATTGTTCTCCAACAAGCGTAGTTGAATTAGCAAGCAAATTTTCTTTTTCGTTCAATTCCATATAATATTTCGCTTCCATTTATATTGAATTGGCAGGTTTTGTTATAATTCCATGATAACGAAAGTTACTTTTCCTGTTAGAAGGATGTAACTTCAACTTATTCACGTGGCNTGCAGATCTACTTGCCAGGGAGGCTGCAACGATCGGTACCTCTGGCCCTTTCAATTATTCAGTGCTACCTGCTTCTTTTCTTAAGCTCCAGCATTGGAACTACAGCTTGGATCTCTGGCAGCAGAGATGGGATAGTTACAATGGCCTTGCCAGGAACTTTTTTCCATCTATTCATGACCACCTTTCTAACCACTGGGTTAGTCCGGACTATGAAACCACGCAATTCTTCACTGGGCATGGGAGATTCCGGGCCTACTTACAGAGGTTCGGCAAATCTACAACGGACATCTGTACCATCTGTAATTGCCGTGATGGGGTTGAGCACTATGTATACATGTGTCCAATGACCGAGGATGCTAGGCATGAGCTTGCCCTTGCTCTTAGCCACAGGGGAATTAACTGGCCATGTGAACTTCATGTCCTTCTTAAGGATAGTGACACCTACAAAGCATTCAAAAAATTGATTCATATGTATCACATACGCTCTGTCATTCACTAAGTTAGTCAAGTCAGTCATCAGGCATTATTTTCATTTGCTTCTTGCACATTATTGTATATACATATCATTATTGTTCTGCTGCAGCATATATCTGTATAATATTTATTATTACTATTAGTATTGTCTATTTTAATTTACTGTACATGTTATTCTACTCTTAAGTTTTGTATAATATCGGTTGATTTGTATTGGTCATCTTACCATCTGTTCATACTTCTCCATTGTCATACTGTTTGTACGTTATCTGTCTGTTATTATGTATGTATTTAGCTGTGCTTTGACATATCTCTGTATTTAACCCGATTATGCTCTTGCGGTATCGGAAGTAAATAAAGATAAAGTAAAGTAAAAAAAAATAAAGATGTATAGACCACTAATTGATATAAAAAAACTGTGTGTATTATAATTTTAAAAAAAATTTTAAAAATAAGTTAAATACGATGGAAATTTCTAGCTGTAGTCTTAAAAATGTTGATGAATTAATAAATAGATTAAAAAATGATAATATAACAATAAATAATTATACGAAACTTTTATCTTTAGACATTAAAAGTATGTATCCAAGTATAACCAAAAATAATGTTAAAACTTCTTTGCAGAAAATCAAAGCTCTAGAATAGATTAATAAACTTTGTATGTTAGTCATAGAAAAGAACTATTTTAAGTACGAGAATAAATTTTACTGCCAAAATGATGGGATACCGATGGGTACTTGTATAGGCCCAAGACTGGCAGAGATTGTTATGATAGAAATAGATAAGTGAATTAAAGACATGAAAGATATTATATTTTATAATAGGTACGTACACGACTGCATATTTATATTTGATGATAGGCAAACTAGCGAAAAATTAATCTTAAAACAGGTCAATGCTATAGAAGAAAACATAAAATTTGAAGCTGAACATATTAAAAATGTAAATAGAACGACAAATTTACAGAACCAACAGCTGGAAATAGAATAAATAAATAAAATGTTTCTATTAAATGAATATTTTAAAAAATATATTAGAAAAACGAAAGGAATGAATCAATAATAAAGCTAATAAAAATAGTAATTTTAATAAAGACAAAATAAAAATGCTTAAATTTTACTTATATACCAAAATTATTCGAAAGGGTTAAATATATTTTAAAAGATGAAGTGAATTTAATTGCTGAGAAAAATAAACTTATTTAAAAAGACATTTATATTATAGGTCAGATAAGAAATGTGAATTAATTAATGGATGAAAAAGAAGTTGTTTATTCGTTTAATTGCAGTTGTGATCCTAATCAAACTTATATAGGGGAGAGACCAAGAGAAAATTAGGAATTAGAATAAAAGAGCATATACGTGTAATAAGAGGTAATTATGCAAATTCTCAGTGACCTGAACATTGTAATAAATATGGTTGTCAGATAAAATTAGATACAGTAAAAATAAAGAAAAAAGAACAAAATAATTATAAAATGCAGTTATATGAACACATAAATATTAAAATTGAAAGAAAAAAATAGAATAAATAATAATTTAGGCAGGATAATCCACCAATGCTGGGCAGTCATCTTAGATAACTAATGAGTATAAATATCTTGGTCAGTTCAACACGAGCCAGTATTGTGTAATTTTTGATAGAAAGAACATTGTAAAGGTAAAAACATTTTTTAAATGTATTAAGTAGTTATAAAAATATTTTAGTTCTGATGAAATAATTTTTTTACTTTTAAAATAGGAATATGAAGCAAAATAAAATTAAATATAAAAACCAATTATTGTCAATAATTGGATGCCTGTGTATCGTAAGTTTTGTAAATATGTTGTCGGTAAATGAATTTTATTTAATTTTTCTTATTTATTTATTATTTTATAGTTAAATATTGTAATCCTGCTGATGAGGGGCATGATGGCCCGAAACATGGATGTTGATCATTGTATGTGTACAGATAGCTTAATAAAGAAAGTCTGGTTTCTTTAAGAACCGTTTTTTTTTCCTCAATTCTTGTATAAATACTTAACACCAGTATAATTGTCCTGTTAATGATTAATGTCCATGTTTACAAATATATAATAAGAAATTAAATAAGGTCAGTAAGGCAAAAAATAATTAAAATGTTATACTCATTGAACATATATAAATAGAAGAGTTGAAACAGAAGTATTACAATTATTACCGATTAAGAAAAACCTAATTTATTTAAAACTGCAAGAATAAAACTACCGTATAGAAGACCAGGTCCAATAAATTTTCTACCATATTGTTAATCTATATATATATATAAAAGAATGTTTGTATGTTTGTTTGATATACACAGGCCTAGGCCTTCAACCAATTGCTACGAAACTCTGCAGTCACGTATATATACTACTAAATTAGATAATGACGAACGTTCCACCCTGAAAGATCTATTGGATTTCTATAAATCAACTACAGTACTGTAAATTCTATCTCTTCTCCGTGCTGGTTAACACGTAGCGCCATCTATTGGCAAAAAGTTTAAGAAAATGTAAAACATTCGATTCACTGATTTATACGTAACGCCACTAGACGGTGCTATCTGTAAATGAGCAAATGGAATGTTTGAATCGAATTCCAAATTAGTAATTACATTTTCTTAACATTAGATCACAAGAAAATATTCTAAAATACAGTTAATAATAAGGAACACTTCCGTAAGTACGAATTCGTCTTCATTGACGTCGTTTCCTAGTAATGTTATCCACTGCCTGGAATCGAATGTGTTATTTTGTGAAAAGTCTATAAGAATTTAATTTTCCACATCTAACAACTGGTACGTCCTGAATTCAAATAAGTGCCCTCCAGTAGCCAAATGGATAACACCACCAAACTCTGGTAGTTAGTCGGGCGAACGGGCATGACAAATGAGCTTGAGTTTTTCGGATATTTTTTTCACGTTAGTAACAACTAAATAGAATTCAGCTTCCCGTAAAAGTCTTCCTGGAATGTATCTCCCTCAGCACATCGCTGACATGTCCCGTTACCTTAACCAAATAAACCAAACTAATTCTAACGACTGATTATTTATTGTAACATCGTTACCAACTGGCTGCAACTTTTCTTCACAATGTTCTCAATTCCTTTAGTGGTGTGATGATCCTAAACTTCACAGTTTTCCTGTTAGCAATAGTGTCGTGCATGTAATCTATCTAACTCCGTTCGGGGAAAAATTTTGAATTGATGTAACGTGACTTGATCCATGTGACAAATCATAAAAAATTCTTTTAAAACTTTTAAAATGGAGTCTTTTGTCAGCCCGAATATAAAGTTCAAACAATACAAGCCGAATCCACGATTTATTCTGTTTTTGAACAGCCCAATAAAGCAGTTAGCATTATTAACTAATTTTTCGTCCTCACCCCTTAAACAGAAAACGATTTTTTGTCAAATTGTTGTATACAGCGTCTACATAAGAACACTAAAAAGAAAAATTTCGCAGAGTTCAATTTCGTTTTCCAAGAAAACGAAACTGAGCACCGCGGTATATATTTTACTGTTACGGCTTGACAATACAATACAAATGTGCTGAAATGCTTGTAACGTTATGTCTAACGCAGTATAAATCCGCAAATTTGAAAGAGGATGTCCATGTCCAAAGTCAAAACTGACAAAAATATCAATTAACGTTTAAAATACGTGTGCGTGTTTTCAAAACTTATATTGTGATACTTGTGACCACATCGTGCATTTTAAATGCACGTCGTAAAGATCAGAATCGTAAGTATTTGTCATAGAGATCAATGAACATTGACAGTAATCAATTAACACTCGATTGACGTGTAGTGCACGACCAGTTTCTGACCGGAAGACGGAACATAGATTTAATATGGCAAATTTTTACCTCGAATACTTTAGCCCATATGAAGCCTTTCAAAATTCAGACTCTGTTACGACATTGGCCTTATACATGTGCAAAAAACCTTGCTTGATGGCCGTGCAGTTGCTTAAACTCCAATCTCAAATAAAACACTTTCCGACTTTCGTGTAAAAAAATATTGTGACAGTAGAAAAATACATCTTCGATAAAGTCCATTAACGGTAAACAAATGAATTGCAGATCGTAATACTTAAGTCGTAAAAAACAGTTTATAACCACAAAAATTTCATTGGATATGAACTTGAAAAACATTGAAGGACTATAAATTCCCGCTGTCGGCTGTCTGTCTCTCCTTTCGAAATCTCGAAAACAGTGTTAGAGTTATGAAAGAGCAGAAGAGATGTGAAAAGAGTTAGGGGAAGAGGCCCGATTAACTGCATACGATATTCCGGTATTAATCGGACATCATGTTATTTCAATTCAAATATTAGATAGATGACTGGCATGACTCTGTTGCTAGCAGGAAAAGTGTGATGTATAGAAGCACTAATTTGAGGTGAAGAGCATATATTTTAAAGTAAAATAAATTTAAAAAATATGATTAATAATTGCAATCCGGCCGGCATTGTGACGATGTCACAATAAATCAGTGAATGACCAAAACTTTTATAATTTTTGTAAAATTACGACATATTGCATTCACTGAGACTTATTTAGTTCTGATAAGTGGGCCTTTTTTTATTATATCAAATTTATGATTATATGAACAATTTGCTAGAAAACCAATTGAATCTGTTCGTCCATAAGGCATTTTTATTCTTGCAGTTTTAAATGAATTAGGTTCTTCGGAATAGATGATAATTATCATCGATTCCGACGTTTAAAATTATAATTTTAAAACTTCTGTTTCGGCTCTTCTGTTTATAAATGTTCAAGGGGTGAAATATTTTATCATAGACATAGTGAAGAATGATCGACAAATGCATACGTAGATATATATTTAACCTATTACAATGTTTAACTTTACAATACATTTCAAACAATATTCATTTTCATTTTTTACCATATTTTATACATACAAATACTTTATAATTTGTTTTCTTTCGACTTAACTTCTTAACATAACTTAATATAATAAATATAACATAATATATCTGAAATAATTTTTTTTCGTCTTTCTTCATTCGTTATTTCAACGAATCTTGATAATTTGGTCTATTTAGAATCGATTTCTTCAAAAATTCTAATATTTTCATTGTTTCATTAAACAATGCAATGTTAATAATAATATTTTAACAATAATCACAAAATTTGTCGTTGTATCAAACCAGAAATTCTCACAATTCAAGCGAATGGTAAGTGTCATTACTGAAATTCTTACGACTAGAGAAAACGTTTCGTATTCTTGAATTATGTTTCTTCGAATAATGGGAAATAGAAAATTTCACAAAAATTCATAAACCTAAACAATTTCTAACGATTTGGATTTTCTAAAATAAAAATATAAATATGTGTAATTATATTGATGTGTATGTTTATAAGCAGGTTGATTCAAGTGACAAAAACGTCAACATTAAATGCAGAGTTTGCAAAAATGAATTTCCAAACGAAGTGCAGTTCGATGCACATCTGAAGGAGAATCCGAAGTGCGAAAAGTTGACTTGTGACGTGTGTCGGAAACAATCTAATTCGATCTCCAATTTGAATATTCACAAGTTAATACATTCGAATGAAAAGAAATTAAAATGCGACGAATGTAATTATTCTACCAAATATACATCACATTTGAAAAGACACAAAAATAAACACTCAAAAACAAAACTTTTTAAATGTAGCTATTGTGGTTATTCAACTATATGGAAAGACAATTTAGACAAACATATTTTGCTAACACATTCTAAAGAACCGAATTTTACTGGAAACGTACGTACCTAAAGTATTTTTTTCTAAAGACACTTATATCCAGAATTGCACAAATAAATAACTGTTAAAATAACTATCCAAAATATCCAATTAATATCATATTATTATAACAATTTACTTTTCAAGTGTTCAGATCATTCTTGTGTGTTCGACATTTTTATTGCTTTTACTTTAATTTATCTGCAATTATTAAAATTTCATTGCTTGAACATTAATTTTTGTACTAATGTCTATATAAACAAATGCATACTAATTATATTTTTATCCGTTTTATAAACCTTTTTTCATTTTATGTGAAATTAGTAGAGTTTTTAAAGATAATTTCTTGGGTTAGCTTCCACCGAGATATCAGAATTTGGAAAAATATCGATGCAAGCGTTGCTCCAAAATTTGTTCATCTCTATCTGAATTAAAACTTCACGAGAAAAGTCATACTAAAGAAAAGCCATTCCAGTGTGATTATTGCTTTAAAAGATTTACACGACGAGATAATTTAAATCAACACAAGCGAATCTTTCATTCAACAGAAAAAAAACAATCTTCGTCTCAGGTAAATAAAAGTATATATAAATAAGAAGTATGTCATATTTTCATCATTTGATAAATAATAAGTAGAAAAAATATATATTTCCTTTAGGACTATACATATAATTGAATCTATCTTCATTTGTTCTTTCACACGCTTGGCAGAGACAATAACAAATTTACGGCGATACCGACCTTTTATTTGAGGCTACATGTTCGCCGTCTAATGTAAATGTAATATTTTAAATGTATTTATTTATTTAATAATAGTACTGGCCATCGCTAGATGACTTTTTAACTTATTTACATTAGACGGCGAACATGTAGCCTCAAATAAAAGGTCGGTATCGCCGTAAATTTGTTATTGCCTCTGCCAAGCGTGTGAAAGGACAAATGAAGATGGACTCAATTGTATGTATAGTCCTAAAGGAAACATATTTTTTCTACTTGTCAATTCGTCCTAGCAAATTTATTTTTAATGATAAATAATAGTTTATAGCTATGCTATGGTTTACGACCGTAACATATACAGTAGACCCCCCTATAACGCTTAGATACGTTCCACGTTATTCGAATTTTACCTTATAGGAATCATTAAATACATGAGCCAATCGCAGCCCGACACGTGTGAAGTTTACGGACTAAGGCTGTTTTTAAGGTTTTCTTCCATAAAATTAACCGATTCTAGACTAATTCCACCCAACATTTCCAAAACACGTATACTTTTTTGGGAATAATCCGTATAAACTATGCTTTAAACAAAAAATTGTAGGATTACATACCGAGTGTGCACCGTTCGACAACGCCGTTGCTCAAGCTTGTTTTCGTCGCGGAACAGCGCACGAAACGGCGGCCGCGATTTCTGATAACGAATTTTTCGCAGAAAAATAACTTGACCTTTGGAGACATCATTAATCTAAATAATTTTCATGGCCGTTGAATAAGAAATGTTTATTTCACAAGAAATGTATAAGATTACAGTACTGTATTAGACTTACGATACTTAATTTACATACTGTACAGACGATAATAAACTCAACTTACTAGACTAAACTCTCCGTAGCGTAGCGCTAGATGGCGAAAATTATATATATAATTATAATAAANAATCTTCAAAACCATTATGGCAATGTCTTCAATGTCACTTCACTACAAACTCCAAGGAAGATTGGTTTCTACATAAACAGACACATAATGATGAAGCCCATTCCTCATCAATGGTATTTATTTGTTTTATTTTGTTTAAAATTCAATGTTGCTCGAAAATATTTGGTTGAACGTTGAAAAATATAACTTTTTAATTATGTCGGATGTTACAGTATTTGATTTAGTTCTGTATTTATAACTACTTAAAATCAGAGATCTTCGTTAAAAGTAAATTTTATATAAATGCATATTTGAATGAGGAAAGAGAATTTATTGTTCGTATAATCGAATTTTTCACAATTTTTATGAAAAATCATCGAAGACAGTAAATTGCCATACAGTTATTAAAGAATATTCATCGTTGCAGGAACAGGAAGAAACAGATCCAGAAGTGTTGAGAACAGCCGAAATTCTCGTCGAAATTAGAGAAAAAAGATTGGAGACGATAAAAGATGAAAAGAAATGTTCTGATCCTGATACACGGTCAAGTTCACAATAACTTGCAAATATATAATATTGGCTGTTATCTAATCCTTTGTTTTTAATTAAAATTGCAAGAAGATATTTTCAAACTGGAATACTTTCATGCGAAATTCTTACGATTGGCTTCTAAATTGTAATTTTTTAAGAATTAAACTTTTTAATGTCTACAAATATTTTTCGTGAGTGAAGACAATTTATTAAAGTATAAATTTCATCTTTATCGGAAATTTATTCAACATTAAAATACTTTTACCTATTAAAGAATATTTTTGATCGTGATAATTTCTTTTAGTTTAATTGGAATAATTTGCACTAGTTATTAATTTACTGTATATCAAAAACTAGTGACGTTATACACTCGGCGGCGTGCAGGCGGTTCCCTCCAAGAGGTATCTGTCGGGAGTACGAACTGTCGAAACCGCCGTCATTGGGACTATCTAGTTAAGTAAACTTTACCCGTTTTTCTCATGTCGGGGATCTTGGGGTCTTTTAGGTTGTCTAATTGCATCGCTATTACGTTGCAGTTTTGCGGTAAACCTTTAAGTAGTGTGGTGCAGTAGCGTAGCGCAGTGGGGGCGGCACTTTTAGGGAGCGGCAAAATTTCACAATAAATAATAATAATATCTTGTAAAAATTTTAACTATTTCATTTCATATATTTGTCGCACCTACGATTCGGACCGATTGAAATGAGCACGGAATTTTTCACTACTTATTCTGTGACGAAACTGAATTTTAGTCTTTTAAATTGAGATACCTAAATAAGGCGGCGGCTGACACCCAAGCTACGCCACTGGTGTGGAGATGAATTCTTCTTCTTCTATTTGAGCTCCTATTATCCTATTATCTATATCTCTAGGAGTTTCCCTCCTCTTAATTAATAGATAATCTTGCCATGTCTTGTCATTACTAATCTGGATACATTGTTTCTGGTCTCTATCGCTTGTCTCCTTAGGTCTCCTTCATATCTTTCTTTTAAGTGGATCAAAATTTGTTTTGCCATTCTACGTGTTAAGATAAGTGCCACTTTTGTGTCGTCCATCGCGCATGNTTGCCATGTCTTGTCATTACTAATCTGAACACATTGTTTCTGGTCTCTATCGCTTGTCTCCTTAGGTCTCCTTCATATCTTTCTTTTAAGTGGATCAAAATTTGTTTTGCCATTCTACGTGTTAAGATAAGTGCCACTTTTGTGTCCTCCATCGCGCATGTTAAAATTCCTCTGGCTTCGGAGTCCGATTTTCCATTTTCTATTTTCGTAGATGGGTCGTCTGTTAATAGATTTCCTAGATCTCTACTATCTAGGGTGGCCATTATACGGTACTTGCAGCTTGTGAAATTATTACTTATAAACTTTGGTAGGCACGATTCAAGTTCCGAATGGGGGTCGGCGACTCCCCTAATTGCAGACTCTCTTGTGCGAACAAAAAAGTCAAAGGAACCATAACCCTACGCGTGACCCTTCACGAGATATAGCCCTATAAATATTTCGAAGTCATTTCCTGCAAGCGCGATAGGGAGTCGAGTCGCATTTTCTGCTAAGCCTATCGCGTGTTTAATTAACAGGAAGCCCGGGAAACTGGCCATATATTCTAAAGACACTTATCGGCAAAGACTAAAGAAAAGTGCCCATGTAAAAGGCCAAGAAAACAAATTGTACACTCACCTTCAACAACATCTCCTCCTGTGTGTGCTATGAGTCTTCTCGCTACTTGGCGACGCCTAGAGTATTCATGTATATGTGTAGGTAAGGCCGCTGGTCCGTGCTTCAGCTAGTATCTAGGTGTCGATGACAAAGTTGGTGTTGTCGCCCGATATCTGAAAAATCACATAATCCAGGTTTCACGTATACACAAGCTGAACTACTCGCTGGGCGGTCGTCATCTTCATGCCGTTCGTCTTCATCATCCTCGTGCAAGAGAACATCGAAATAAGGCTCGTCGGGTGGCAGATGTTGATCCATGGGCAAAACGATCGTCTGGACCTGGCGACCAGAGCCCGTGTAGACGGCCACGATGTCCCCGAGAAACTGCTGGAATTTTGCCGATGTTGTCGTCAACAGGGAAAGAAACCATGTTCTGTACACGTACGTGCAAGCGTAACTCTGCAGGCCAAGTGACCAAGCGGTCTTCATACCCTGAACACCAGGAGTTCGGTCGTGGGTTCGCGCCTCGCGCTTGCCTTTCCAGGTTTCTCTACATCTAAATAGGGGCCAATTTCCCTTAAAAAGACTCCCGGAAGGCATCCATTCTATGCAGATTGCCCAAGGTTTGCGTTGCCATAACTTAACAAACAAACAATTCTGTAGGAAAAAGAAAAAGGTCATTTTTCGGTACCGTTTTCGATACTTATTTCTTAGCAGGACGATAGTCAATTGATGCGATCTAATTCGCGTGTATTGGATTGACAATTGGTTCAGATAAGATTTCCCAAAATGTGTGAGTAACTTCAAACGAAATAGTCGTTTGCAAATGGTTCGCTGGCTAGTTACACTTGCGCCTCTCCTCGCGCAGTGCGTGAATATTAACCCTGCTGGGTTGCTGAGTGAGCGCCTGTCACAATGTCAGTCATGAAAACAATATTGAGGTTTTCATTACTAAAAGAAGACAGCAAGGAAATCTTTCAAAACACAATAAATTATTTACTCAGAATGTGGTGTATAAAAAATTTTAATATTATTTTAATATAAAAGCGTAAATTTGTTTATGTGTAAGTGAATTCTCTGTAACTCCATCTATTTTTGTCCACTTCAAGTGAAATTTCGTTTTATTTGTCTTTATGTTACCACAGATTGTGTAAATTACTTAATTTGTTGCGATATTAACAACTCTCATTCCACATTTTTAATCGAACGCATTATTACAAAATTTACAGTTGTTTTCCTTGGTTCTCGATTTCTAGAAAAATGAAATTAAATAAATCTTCCATGTTTATCAGATAATTTCACATTATCACCGATATTTCCTTTTATGCGTGTATCTGTTTTCGTAGTGGAAAAAATATAAAAACTTCACATAAATTTACGTATATTAACTTCATACCGTGACATATGGATATCATGGTATGCCTTATCAGGCATGATCAATACGATAATATTCAAATTTTTATAATTAAAACGTAATTACGAGACGAAATTATTCTTAAACAAGTAAAAGTATTTTAATGTGCAATAAAAATGAAATTTATATTTTGTGGAATTAATTTTGTCAAAATATTGTAAATATCAATAAGTTCAATTCGTCTTAAACGTCGAATTTAGAGGCTATTTATAACACTTTTGCATGAAATAAATAGAATTTGAAAATCTCTCCTTGAAATTTTTAAAAACTGGATAGAATATTGAACATTCGCAGATTATTGTAAACTTGGCGGATTATCGGTTTCGGGAGATTTCTTTTCTTCATCTATCTTCTCCAATCTTTTGCTTTGTATGCCGAAGAGTATTTCGGCTGCTCTAACCACTTCTGGATCTGTTTTTTCCTGTTCCTGTAACAATAAACAGTTTTGTAGTAAATCTTTATACAAAATAAATAAATAAATAAATTTCTTTCGAACAAATGTCAATTTTGAAATGAGAGCTCAACACTTTAGACACACACAAATTTAACTCAACAGTCACAAATCTAATTTGTGGTAAACAGTAGATTGATATCATTGTTAATGTCTTCTCATCCGATTGTGTAATATTTATAATATCGGTATAGTAGAGCTCAGCCACACGTCTAATGTTAAAGTGCCAAATTTGACTATTAATATCTCCAAGACCAACGAACCGATTTGGATGAAATTTAAAATATTTAGTGTCCGCGGTGAGGAATACGGTAGTCTTAAATTCTGAATAAATTCGTTGGATCGTTCTGGATCTAGGCAATCACAAATTTAGCATTTATTCCACTAGATTTACAACAAGAGATTTTGGTCACACCGAGCTACCGGAAAATCTAGAAGGAGTCTGTATATTCTTAATAGCTCTTTCGAGAGCTGACCACTATTATTTTGCATTTTTTGAAGGTTTTATTTAAAACTATTGAGTATTTATAAAATTATATCCAAGTTTTTAAATATTAACATTTTATTGGTCGATTGTCTACCACGTTACATGACGTTTTGCGATTACGTTTAATTTATTAATACAAGCCTAATGATTTAAAAATAGACTATTTATAAAATGATGTCTCATTTTTACTTTTGTGCTTCTTATGTGCCTATACATAACGAGGAAAATCTCCACGTTTTGATTTTTTTTTTTTTGGTCTACTACTGTATACACATGACAGAATCTTTGTGTCTCTCTGTTCTTAGCTTTTTATTACATTTTATATTATATCTATTTTCTGAGACACCGAAGAAAATATACACTACTGCCTAAATCCGAACACACGCCCCTTCCCTGATTTTATCTTTTTATTAATTTCTAAATCCTTTACTCGATCTGCACGAAAGTTTACATACTTATTTATTCTCTGGACTCCGGAAAAAATATAGACTACCACGAAAACCTGTAAAATCTTTTTATAATGTTATTGATAACTGAAAAATACTTGAAATTTCTTTAAAAACTGGTGAAACCAGGTTGAAAATGTAGAGCTCGACAGAAACATCTGAAGAAAGAGAACTTTTGAAAGTTCTGAAATAAAAATAGTGAAGGTTGATTTGACAGTAAAACTCAACATGTGAATAAAGTTCACATCACACAGACTACAACTACAAGAAGTTTTAGAGAAAACGGTCATCTCGATAATAAATAGAAAAAATATGCATCGTTACAGAAAAGAGCTTCAAGCTTTACTTTGTCCCTCAAACTTCGTTCGCTGATACTTCTCAAACAAGTTCTAATGTTCAACGAAATGAATGTAGCGCAATGACTTTAAGGCACAAAGTAAAGCTCAAAGCTTTTTTCTGTGACTATGTTTCTTTTTCCGATTTATTTTCATGATGACTGTTTCCTGCAAACCTTCCTGTAGTTGTGGTCTATGTAATGTGAACTTTATTCACATCCTGAATCTTACGGTCAAATCTGCTTCTACTATTCTTATGTCCGAACTTTCAAAAGTTTCCTTTATTTAGAAGTTTCTTTTGAGCTCTACTTTTTCAACCTGGTTTCACCAGTTTTTATTGGATATACAAGTACACAGAGTGGCCAAAAATTACAGACACCCTGTAATAACGAGTTGGTCCACCTTTAGCTCTGATTACAGCAGATATTCTTCTTGGCATGGACTCAAGAAGTTGCTGAGGAATGTTGGCCCATGCTAACATAAGTTGCTTTAAGTTTGGCAGGCTTTAAGTTTTAACATAAGGCAGCTTTAAGTTGGATCAGATTGGATGATGGCGTTTCGAAACTTTGAAGTGATCTTTCGACTTCGTCCCACAAATGCTCAATAAAATTGCGGTCAGGGGACTGAGCTGGCCATGGAAACAGGTTAAACTCTGACTGATGTTTCTCAAACCAATTTGAGTCCGATCGATCATGGTGGCAAGGTGCATTGTCAAGGTGCTAAATGTGACCATTTCTCATGGTGGCAAGGTGCATTGTCAAGGTGCTAAATGTGACCATTTCCATCAGGGAACATTACAGCCATAAATGAATGTACGTGATCAACAACGACGTTGAGGTAAACTGTACTATTCAGAGATGTGCCCATAAATATCAAGAGACCCAGTGTACCCCAGGAAAACATTCCCCACACTTTAATTCTACCGCCACTAGCCTGAAGAGTTGTCATTTCACAGGAGGAGTCTATGAATTCGTACGGTTTGCGCCATATTCTGATCCTGCGATCTGCATGATGGAGCAGGAAATGAGATTCATTAGACCAAGCTACTTTTTTCCAGTCCTCAAGTGACAAATTTCGTCGTTCTTGGACCCACAACAGGCGCCTTTTCCTATTTCTCTGTGATACCAAAGGCACTCTTGATGATCTCCTGCTGCTAAAACTCATCCTTTGCAAAGTCCGTCTTGTTGTGTGTTGGGATATGCTTTGTGATGCATCTGCATTAAAGTCAGTTGTAATTTATCATATTGTTTTCATTCTGTTGCTGCGGACTATGCGTGCTAATCTTCCTTCACCTGTCTCATTCACCAGTTTTTTAAAACTAGAATTGTCCTTAGCGCTCGTTTCCTTTCTCAACCGCCACTATCTAAACACCCAAGATACTGTTGGGCGAGAAAATCCTAAAAGAGTTGTCGTTTCAGAGATGCTGGCACCTGCTCTTCTTGTACTAACGATCATCACTCGTTCAAAGTTACTTAAATTCTTCGTATTACTCATTTTGACATTAACTTTCTATAAACTACAAATTTACTTTCCTATACTATAATTTAAAAAGTTGCCTTTTCCTAACTTAAACTGAATATTTATTTACAAATTACTAAAACTTTTAAACAGAATACAATTAAATACCTTTAATGTGCAAGGGACTTCATCAACGTGTGTCTGTTTATGTAGGAACCATTCTTCCTCGGAGTTTGTAGTAAAGGGACATTGATGACATTGCAATCTTTTAAGATGTTCCTCTTGCATTGAACTGGCTGCCGAGATTTCAGAAGAGTGCATCTCACTCTGTTTCGAGATTTTAAAAGTTTTTGATGTACCTTCTCCCGCAATTTGCTAAAAAATTGAAAAATATTGTTCATTATGCAATTCCTTTTATACCATTCTATGATGCTTTTTATATTTAATTGAAAATTAATAGCAGAACTACCACAACGATGATAGAATTTCAATGAATAGCGTAACAATTTTTTTGAATATGATAATTGTGGGGATGTCCCGATACTGCCGATACCGATAGTTGTATCGATACTTTTCCCTGGATATCGTAACATTTTTCACGGATAGGTAAGATTTGCACGAAACCGGATTTTGCAGCCGAATCAGAAAATGAAATGAAATTTTACACTGTTTCCGGTTATGACCAAAAATCAATAAATGTATTACGTCAAATTCTATATCCAGAATCTATCCCAAAAATTTCTCATGTTTTTTGTTGGTTTTGTTAAGTTACGGCAACGAAACCTGCCTAGGGTGGATGCCTATTGGAAAGGCATACATCTTGTTCAGGGATTACAGACGCCTGAACAGGCTTTTATTCAGGCATTACAGACGTTAAGAAAACCACGTAGCCAGCCCATTCGGGCGAGGCGAGGACCCATGACCAAACTCCAAGTGTTCTGGAACGGAACTGTGTGGCCACTGGTGGGCCACAATGTCTTATGCACCCCTATCCCACGTATAACAGTACCGTCGGACCCCATCAGCAGAATTGCAGATTTGTGGCTTCTTTGTGTACTAATATAAACTTAAGTACTAACTGACGCACTGATTTCTGATCTAGATATCCAGGATTGAATTTTCTGGAATAAGCAAAAAAATATTAATTGCTGCATTGTGGCCCACTCAGCCTTCATTCTAGTGAGTACAGTAAACCTATCACTTTTTTTACGTGATTTTGAAATAACGTGGTCAACAATAAAATAATTTTATTTTTATGCGATCGTTTTCTCGCGCGAAGGAAAAAAACAGCTTATTTTTTGAAAGTTTGTAATTGAACTTAATTTTAATTGTGTTGTTGTTAAAAATGTTACTGTTTTGTTGAAATCAAGGGTTAATTTATCTTTTTAAAGCACGGTATAGTACCATATAGAAGAGACCGGGGCAACTTCGGCATACGGGGCAAGTTTGTCAAGCGCTTTTTTTAAAAACAAATTAAAAGGAGACTTTGGTTATAGGTTAGGCAGTTGAGTTTTATTGGTGGCTTGTTGAGTGTAGTGTTTTTATTGCTCTCCAACAAGCGTAGTTGAATTATCAAGCAAATTTTCATTTTCGTTCAATTCCATATAATATTTTGCTTCCATTTATATTGAATTGGCAGGTTTTGTTATAATTCCATGATGACGAAAGTTACTTTTCCTGTTAGAAGGATGTAACTTCAACTTATTCACGTGGCCTTATCATGGCTTGGGATTCTGTTCTCAGGGTTGTACTTAATGTTTCGAAATCATGACTAGCGGGGCAAGTTCGGCAACATAAAGCCTTATTAGAAGCAAAGGATAAAAATCAAACAGATGATAAATGAAAACATGTTTGCATTTGTTATTCATTTATATATGTCTTTGAACTTGCATTTCGTTGTAATAATATTAAATAGGTGTTGGATTTGTATTTCTTTGTTTTAATAGTGAATTCCAACTTATACATTGTTAATAACATAAATTTATATACGTGCCTATCTTGCCCCATTACTGTTGCCCCTATACCACGGGCAACTTTAATAAAAATAGTTAAAATAATTACAACTTTACAAAAAGAGAGAAATTTCTCTCTTCTTGTAAAGTTGTAATTATTTTAATTATTTTTATTTCCAAACTGATTTTAACCAGTTCTATAGTAAGGTAACATTCCAATAGACAATATGCAAAGCTTTTTTTCAGTTTACAGCAGTATTTATTACACAAAATTTAAGTAAAGCTTAACATGCCGATCTTGCCCCGGTCTCCCCTACATATTAGAAAATGCCGTATATCGGTTTTGCTTCCTATACTATCTTGTGTTTACTATATACCTGTATACATACAATAACGTTAATGATAAATGACGTTAGAGTAATAAAGCTCCTGTTTGTAACTTGATAAATTTTTCGTTCCATTGAAGTCGTGGATCCTATCAAGCATTTTCACACGAAATGCATGTACGGTAATGTATATTTGTACGAATTGTTTTTACACAGTTTTTTTGGAACGTATCCACTGTGCAAAAAGAGGGACAGATGTACTTTCTCAGCAGGAAGGACAACGAAGGCTGTGCAAAAAGAGGGACAGATGTACTTTCTCAGCAGGAAGGACAACGAAGGTGACGCGACAGACTGAACAACGACAGCAAACAAGATTTATAGTTTCGATAGTCGATGCCGATACAGGCTTTAATGAAAGTATCGATAATTTTGTGGTATCGAAACATCCCTAGATAAATGTCCGTGTAACAAAAGAGAAGAAATTGTAATTATCATACAGAAATAATTGAACGGAGAATAATTAAATCTTTAATATTGTGAAAAGATTTGTAAATAAATAAATGTGAACCATACCAATCGAGTGCATATTGTAAAAAACTATATTCATGTCATAGCATATCGAGGGTATTATAATAAAAAATACTTCACAAAGACTGTTACGAAATCAACACATTTACAATTAGAACACTCTCTATACGTAGGAAACCATAACATATTTTTAACTTATTGTTTATTTTAAACTAGGATATTGTTCTTATTTAAATATACTTCTATTTACCTGAGACGAAGATTGTTCTTCTACTGATGAATGAATATCTCGCTTGTGATGATTTAAAAGATACCGTTGCGTAAATCTTTTAAAGCAATAATCACACTGAAATGGTTTTTCTCCAGTATGATGTCTTTCGTGAAGTTTTAAAGCAAATAAAGATGCACAAATTTTCCGGCAAACTTTGCATCGATATTTTTCCAAATTCTGATATCTCGGTGGAAGCTAACACGATAAATTATTTTAAAAACTGTACTAATTTCACATAAGATGAAAAAGGTTTATAAAACAGATAAAAATATAATTAGTATGCATTTGTTTATATACACATTAGTAGAAGAATTAGTGTTTCATCAATGAAATTTTAATAATTGCATATAAATTAAAGTAAAAACAATGAAAATGTAGAACACACAAGAATAATGTGAACACTTGTGAAAGTAAATTGTTATAATAATATGATATTAATTGGAAATTTTGGATAGTTATTTTAACAAATATTTATTTGTGCGATTCTAGATATAAATGTCCTTAGAAAAAATACATTAAATACGTACGTTTCCAGTAAAATTCGGTTCTTTAGAATGTGTTAGCAAAATATGTTTGTCTAAACAGTCTTTCCATACGGTTGAATAATTACAATAGCTACATTTAAAAAGTTCTCTTTTTGAGTGTTTATTCTTGTGTCTCTTCAAATGTGATGTGTATATGGTAGAATAATCACATTCGTCGCATTTTAATTTTTTTTCATTCGAATGTATTAACTTGTGAATATTCAAATGGGAGTTCGAAGTATATTGTTTCCGACACACGTCACAAGTAAACTTTTCGCAGTTCGGATTCCCTTTGAGATGTTCATCGAACTGCACTTCGTTTGGAAATTCATTTTTGCAAACTCTGCATTTAATGTTGACGTTTTTGTCACTTGAAGCGACTTCCTTATAAACAGATACATGAATATAATTACGTATATTTATATTTTTAGCTTAAAAAAATCTAGATCGATAGCAATTGTTTAGGTTTAACGACTTTTGTAAAATTTTCTATTTTCCATTATTCGAAGAAACAATTTAAAAATACGAAAGGTTTTTTTTTTCAAGTTAATAGCATTTCAGTAATGACACTTACAATTCGCTTGAATTGTGACAATTTCTGGTTTAAAAAAGACGACAAATTTTGTGATTATTGTTAAAATGTAATTATTAACATCGCATTGTTTAATAAAATAATGTTCATTGTGTTAATGGAAGATACAACAATATAAATATTTTTCAAGAAATCGAGTCGAAAAAAAAAAAAAAACAAATGATCAAATATTTGTATCAATATGAACAAAATATGAATGAAGGAAGATGAAAAGAAACTCGTTTGAAATGTAGTCAAACCTTAATTCGTTCCAAAAAGTCGTTCAAAAACCGACTTGTTTTCAAACCAATTCAAATTTCCTTATTGGAAACAATATTAAATGAANAGTTGAGTCTCTATTTATAGCACTTCTTTGTAAAGTGTTAGTTTCAACTGGCAGTGACAGAACATTTTGCTTTTAATATATATGTAAAATAGATACGCAAAATGTTTCGTCACTTCCAACCAAATGGAAACAAACAAATAACGAGTTGTTGAACTTTCCTGGCAACATTTAGTGATGCCATCTGTAATAAAATGTTTTTTTTTTAATATTTCTTTAACTATTACAAAATGGGAAAAAGATATGGGTTTTATAAAAAAAAATAATTATAAACGCTAATAACAAGTAAAATCGTCATAAAGATACACACGACTCCCGTTTATCTCCCCACCCTAGCCCAATAATCTCATCAATATAAACTTTGTACAATTAACATTCTAACTATTACACATAATTTCTATAAATTATATTGAAAACTGCAGAAATTAAGTAAAATTAAGAAGAATCCATTATACAAAAATATTCGTTACAACGAATATTTTTGTATAAAATAGATTATTCTTGTATGACGTGTTAAAAGACTCTGTTAATCGTCTATAAATGAACAAGGCAACTTGTATTGTACAGTACAGTCATTCACACTTAAACCAGTGTTCGACTGTCATTGAAGTCAGTATACGTCGGAAACAGAATTATAATTACTTCAACAATTAAATTTGTAAATCATAACACATAAAAACCTTCTGAAACTCCATTAATACGTGTTTTTACAAAATAGCGAACGTTTTCGATCCTACCAGGGTCTTCCTCAGGCAACAGTTATGAGGAATTCAAATAAGTGCAAAATGGAACAAAAAACCGAATGAATGCGTTTCAAACTTTAGAACAGCAATTTTAATATTAAAAAATAGAACATTACGCTGGTGCATAAATGACATTTAAGCACGTGTAAAATTAAACATGCGAAACGTTGAATGCTGATGAAATACATACAAATTAAAGTTACTTATGAGGGGGTGTTCCCTCATAACAAAATTTCCATGCTGATCCTTAGAGTTAATGCACGTGCTATTCAATCCCGCTTTATATATTTCGAGGTTCTCCATGCTTCTGAGCTGATTGGTACGGTCTGTTAGCCTGATCAGACTGGCATTTTGTAGATCAACTGTGATTCCAGACTCTGTGGCGACACTTGAAAGCGTGGTGATATGTTTATTATTATCAATGTCATATTTGTTCTCTTGAAGGCGTTTGTGAAGGGAGTGTTTGGTTGAGCCCACATAGACCAAACGACTATTAAATCTATCATCCCAAAGAGAGACAGCATATACCCGGTGCGTTAAGTCAAGCGTATCCTTTCTGTTGCGGAGTAAGTTGTAAACCGATCTTGGCGTACTGTATGCTATTTTATTTTTAGTGAAGGAAAAGATTTCCATGCGGTGGTTGTACCTTACAATTTTTCTTCTACGTTTGTTGTCCCGAGAATCCCGGAGAGGTCGGGAGTGTTGTGTGTGTCCCATTGTATGTAAGCGCGAGCAATATTGTATACTAAGTTCTTATTATATCCATGTTGTGTGTGCGTTTCCTGAATATGTTTTAGCACAGCTATGGCATCTTCATAATTAGAGTGGTGCGTGAACGCCCTCTTAGTTAAGGCCCGAAATGCCTCGATCTTGTAGGAGTAAGGATCCTCTGAGTTCGCGGGGATGAACAGTGGTACATAGCACTTTTTGTAAAAGACTTTGAATGTAATCCCATTATCTATTAATCGAATGTCCGAGTCAAGAAAGTGTGCGAAGGTGTTGCTTTTTTGGTCCAATTTGATGTTTAGGACATATGGGTTGTTGTTCATTAAGTTAATGAACTGAATGACGTCATGTTCCGTTCTCTATATGATAAAGACCTCGTCAACATATCTCCAGTACATGTCCATTGAAATGAATTTAAAACAGACACTCTTTTATACCTGTTTTATTATTGACCATTACAAAATCAAAAATTACTTTGTATTAAAAATTAACAAAATTGTGAATTATTTAAAAAACTACGAGTAATTACTAGATTTTTAAAATGCATCATTTTATCTATTAATACTATTGAATTTAAAGACTCATTTAATGTTTAAAAATTAATAGAATGATAATTTTGGAGGGAGTGAACGATGTTAATAGAATAGCTTGTTTTCATCTGTCAGTGGTGAGAACGCTTTGAAACTAACACCTATTGTTATATTGCCTTTAGAAGTCTGCTATTCAGTCCTTCATCTCTATATTGTATAAAGTAGGTCACAGTGGTAAACACATGTACCAGCTTATCATTAAGGTTTAAATACTCTTTGTTTGTATTACACAAACTTAAACACACTCAATTCCACACAGGCAATGCTATGTTCTACCTGTCTCAGCAATTATATAGCGGGTATATTTGGCGATGTATCCTTATCTCAGTAATTAAATGAATATAATATGTATATAAATATATATTGTTTAATTATATCGGTTTTTTTTGTAAGGATTATATTTAGTTTATTACTTTTTTAAATTTTTGGCCAATATAGAGCGTAACGTGTATCTCACAATTCCAATAAAGATAAAAATTAATTAGTTTATAGAAATGTGGGAGCATCTGTCAGTGCTGTATCTTCGGTATTAACTTATTTCTTTTTTATAGGTTAGGTGTAATTCATTAAATTTTTAAAATAATTATTCGAGAGATTCTTGTGACTTTTGTGTTGAGAAAGAAATTGTGGATGCCTGGCATATTTTGGCTAAATGTGGGCGACTTAAAGTGCTACGTGAAGAAGTTTTTGATTGTGAAGTCCTTACCAGGGGGCGTGATTCCTCTACTATAAGTTTAACCTTGTTGCTGGTGTTGTTTGGGAGCATCTGTCAGTGCTGTATCTTCGGTATTAAGTTTATTTTTTTTTTTTTTTATAGGTAAGTCTTTACTATTATGGCAGTTAATCCGAAAAGAAAGTCGTATTCACCGAACTTCAGGGAAGCAGAGACTAGTAGTAAAAAGAAATCTTTGAAGAGTCGTGAGGAAGAAGAATTTGCATATCTTCTGGAAGGAGAAGATTTTGGTAAGATTTTAACCTCGAAGAGGGTATACGTGTTCTGTTGCGTTTACATTTCTCAATGAATTCTAAGGTCGACGAACTTATTTCTAGGTTAAATTATGTATCCGAATGGTTAAAAATTTTTGATGAAGGTTTGGCTGACTTAGATAATAGATTAGAAACATTAGAAAAATTGGCTGATAAAAACTGTAGTTTAAGTGATCAAAGTAATGTTACGAAAAAGTTTAATGATATTACTCGTAAACTTGATTTTTTTGGATAACCAACGACGAATAAATAATGTTGTCATTTCCGGTTTGGAGGAGGTTCGGGATGAATCTTCTCTAGAAACTAAAGAGAAAATAATTGAATTTGCTTTACGAGTTTTACAGATGCCCGACATTAAAATCAATAGGGCAATGAGAGTGGGAAAGAAAAAAGCCAATTCCCCTAGATTAATGATTTGTACTTTTGTTGATTATTATGAAAGTAAATGTACTTTATGAAACGAGTTCTGGATTTAAAACCGGATGGGGTTTATGTGAATGATGAGTTTTCTCCTAGAGTGAGAAATATTACATTTAAGCTTCGGGATTTCTGTAGACAATCAAAACTTTCTGGAGCGCGAATGGTAAAAATAGTTTATGATAAAATTATTATTGATGGAACGAAGTACCTTTTACGATGTTGATTGTGACCAGGTTAAGCCTGTTCCGTCTTAGCAACTACCTGTCAGGTAGTTGCTAAGACGGAACAGGCTTAACCTGGTCACAATCTCATTTCTGATTTGGAATTATGTTGGTTTATTTAATAAACCTGAGTTTTTTTGGAAGTATTTATTGCAATATGATATTCTATTTCTTTCTGAAACCTGGTATGGTTCTACTAATAGAAATTCGGACGTAACTGATTGTTTGCAAGGTTACAATCTCCATTTTAGAAAGTCTTTTAAGTTACACTCGAAAGGTCGTTATTGTGCAGGCTTGTTATTAGCAATAAGATCCTCTTTTCCCTGTGTTGTTGTTTATCAAGATTCTTTTCTAATACTTGTCAAATTTGGTGCCGAACTTGGTAATATTTTGGTATGTTTTATTTATTTTAGGGAAAATGACTGGCAGTCTAGTTTTGATACTTTAACTGGTTTGATATTAGATAATAGGGATGTATTAATTGCCGGTGATTTTAATGCTAGGATTGGATTGGAAAATATAATTTCTGACGCATTTTGCAATTCTTTGGTATTGTTTGTCCTTTGCGTAGGAATTTGAAAGACTGACTCTTGTGGTAGAAAGTTGCTTCATTTATGTGATGATTTGGATATGATTAATGGGAGATGTTTATGTGATGAAGCGGGTGAATATTCTTTCATCTCTAATCGGGGTTGTTTTGTTATTGATTTGGTCATAGTTTCTCCGTTAATTTGGAAAGATGCTCTCTCTCTTACGATAGATCAGTGTTTAGATTCCGATTTTAATCCTTTGATTTTACGAGTGGCCTGTGGTAATGATAGATCAGTCTCTTTACAAAAGAGGCAGAGGTTTAATAGATTGTATTGGAGCGAATCTAGAAAGGATGAATTAAGGTTGCATTATTGAGGAAATATTATGGAGGAAAAATGTACATCGAATAAGTTTGATTCAATGGAAGATCTGAGTAATTGTATTTTTAGTTTGGCTTGTAAGTAGGAATTTAATATCAAGACATAAGAATTATTTTTCGTGGTTCGATTCTGACTTTAGAATGTTAATTAATGCAAGGAATAGAGCATGGAGATCTTTTAGGAAGAGTAATGATTCTAATGATCGATTACGTTTTGTTATGTTAGGAAGTTTACCGAAGCGGTTTTGCATTGCGAAAAAAAAAATATTTGCTGGTAAAATTCAGAATTGTTTTAGGAGAGATAACAGACTTTTTTGGAATTATTTCCGACATGTTAAGCAGGCTAATTCTTGTAATTTCAGCTTTATTCCCATTGATGATTGGTTTCATCACTTTTTTTTAATTTATTTGGTTCTTTGGACCCTTATTTTGCAGATATTTCGATTTTTTCATTATTGTAGGAATTGGTATGATGAACTTTTGAACCATGAATTTTCTATGAGTGAGCTTAATGATGCTTTGAGGAGGTATAAGCCAAATAAAGCCCCAGGTTTTATTTGGCTTATACCTCCCAGGTTTTGACGGTATCCCAATGGAATTTTGAGACGTTGAGACCACATCTTTTGAGTCTTTTCTTAAATATTTTTGATACTGGGATAATACTGGAGTCTTGGAAGACGAGTATTTTAATTCCGATTTTCAAGAATGGTAGGAAGGATGTTCTTGGTAATTATAGAGGCATCTTGTGTGTCGAAATTGTTTTGTACTATTTTGTATAGAAGACTGACTCGATGGTTAGAAGTTAAAAATATATTGCATGAAAATCAGGCAGGATTCCGGGCTAGTTATTCCACATTGGATAATATTTTTGTTTTGCACTCGGTTATTCAGAAAACTTTTTCACGGAAACGTAGGAAAGTATACGCATTTTTTGTTGATTTATCGTCTGCGTTTGACAGAGTCTGTAGGAATTTGTTATGGTCAAAAATGTTGTGTTATGGTTTCAGTTAGAAATTTATATCTTTACTTGTTGCTTTGTATGAAAATTCTTCGCTTATGGTAAGAGTTGGAGGTAATTGTTTGCCAGTAATGTTTTCTAAGACTGGTGTTAAGCAGGTCTGTATTTTGAGCCCAATCTTGTTTAGTATTTTTTGAACGATCTCTCTGATATTCCTGTGATGGCAGAGAAATAGATGGTTTTCAAATTAAAATACTGGCTTACGCAGATGATATTGTAATTGTATCTGATTCTGTGGTTTGACTTCAAAGATTGATTGATAAATTGGCAATTTATTTAGATGAAAATGACTTGAAACTGAATTTGAATAAGTCTAAGATTATTGTTTTTCGAAGAGGAGGTAAGAGTGCGAGGGCAGATAAATGGTGGTTTAAAGGTTCTCCAATTCAAGTTGTATCTAATGACAAATATTTGGGTGTTACATTTTCGTCTAATGGTTTATTTCGTATTCATTACATTAATAAGAGAACTTATGTTAGATTATTGATGAATAAAATTATTCAGTTTGGTAGGTCTGCCAAATTACGTAATCTGACTGATTGATTATTTACGTTTATTGAAAACTGGTGTTGCCCTCTGTTATATGCTTCAGAGATTTGGGGTTTTAACTTGACCAATGGCGATGGTATACAGACTGAATTCATTAAAAACTTATTTTATTTACCGCGTTGTACACCAGGTTATTTAATTATGATGGAATGTTCCTTGACTCCTATAAAATTTATAATATTTGGTAGGATAAGAAATTGGATTACTAGAATTTCTAATCTCAATGATTACCGTCTGAGTAAGGTTTGCCTGAAATTTATACTTGGTAAAGTCTATAGATTAGACACGTTATTCTATTGATTCCTGTAATAATCATGATATTAATCTTATTAATGATGATTTGAATTTAATGGACTGGTCTCTTCTCCTCGTTAACATTTTTGATAATTTTTTTATACAATATAAATGAAAAAATAATTAATAGCGTATATAATTGTTGGTATAAGGATTTGAATGTCACTTTTTTTGATAATTCTTTATATAACAAGACGTTTCCCTTAATATTTTGTCTTTATTTATACAGGCTAGGTGTAATTCACTAAATTTTTAAAATAATTATTCGAGAGATTCTTGTGACTTTTGTGTTGAGAAAAAAATTGTGGATGCCTGGCATATTTTGGCTAAATGTGGGCGTCTTAAAGTGCTATGTGAAGAAGTTTTTGATTGTGAAGTCCTTACCAGGTATTTATTTCTTAAAATTTTATCGGTACCATGTTATCAATTTAAAGTGTTTTGTTTTCTAAAAAAATCTGTGGCTCTCTTGTATTAGGGGGCATGATTCCTCTACTATAAGTTTAGCCTTGTTGCTGGTGTTGTTTGGGAGCATCTGTCAGTGCTGTATCTTCGGTATTAACTTATTTCTTTTTTATAGGTAAACGATTTACGTATTCTTTATTGTTTTATTTATTGGTTTGGCTAAAATATAGAACAGAGTGACGCTATTTTCACCCCCCCCCAAATGTAAAGCCCCTGTGCAAGCATAAGTCAATAGGACCATGCCTTTATGGGCGACCCTTCGCGAGATATAACTCTTCAAAGATGCGCCTAGGTCATATCCGGTCACGTGACTCCGCGCCCAAAAGGGACTGCATCACGTGTCCGAAATTTTTTTCGGTTTTTCCTTATCTTAGTGTTGAAAAAAAACGCGCGTTTCCCTTCCTTAGCCCCCAGCGCGCGTCTCCCCACTCCTGTCCACGCGCCGCCGCTGTCTCTCCCTCACACGTGGCCGGTGGCCCGAGTCTCCCGCCTGCAGCCTTCCAAAGTAGCCATCTGTTGCCTGTAAGTACAAATTTCTATTATTACGCCTCTTACCTGAGCCAGGGATTGAGCCCCAGTCCCAGCAGTCACCGGGCCACTTCTCTCTGCACCGGCCCACTAGGTCGCTCTGCCAGAAACACTTTGGAACTCATACTTGAGCAGTGTTAGGCCGAGGAGCATACTGTGCATGACAGGCCCTCCAGGTGGTCCCCTCTGCCGCACAGATGCAGCACGCCGCTCCACGTGTCCCCCTCGACCGTGAAATGGGAGAGGGCCTGTTGGCCAATGGACGATTTGTCCGCGGGTCACGTGTCCGTGGCACCGCCCCTCGAGGTTTCATAAGCCTTCAGGTCGCCTTCAAGCCTTTGTACCCAGTTGTAGCCTGAGAAACGCAGTTCAGTTCA